GGTCTTACAGCAGGACAATGACCCAAAGCAGACTTCAAAAAGCACAAGAAATGGTTTCAGACAATGACCTGGAGAGTTGTGAAGTGGCCAGCAATGAGTCCAGGTCTAAATCCCATAGAGCAGCTGTGGAGAGATCACAGAACATCAGCTGGGAGAAGGAACCCTTCAAATCTGAGACCTGGAGCAGCTGGCAAAAGAAGAGTGGTCCATAACTCCAGTAGAGGTGTAAGAAACTCACTGATGGTTACAGGAAGTGACTGATTTAAGTTATTTTGTCCAAAGGGTGTGCTACCAAATATTATGTTGAGGGTGTCAATAATTTTGTCCAGTTCATTTTTGGAGTTCTATATGGATCAGATTTGGCTTTTATGTGTTGTTCCACTGCAAACAAAATAAACATGAGAATACCAAAGAATTAGTGATTGCAACAAGTGTTATCTGACAGATGCTGGGGTGCCAACATTCTTGGCCATGAGTGTACATAAAAATAACCTTGTTATTTTCAAATGCTGTTCATGTTCTTTAGTCACCTCTAACAGTTCTCTTTGGTTCCCTGTTCAGAGACCACTTGATGGTTTTTGTTTTAAAACCTCTGGAGCTAGTGGCTTTGGCAGTGCTACTGGTTGACAGTGTCATCTTACTTCGTTGTCACCATTCTGGTCAGACATCTGTTAGCTACACATGCAGCTTCTGCCATGTTAGTAGGTATAACTGTCCTATAACAGCTCTACACCAAATGAACTGTTCGGTATTTAGTGACAGTAACGTTAAGTAACAAGTGCGACATGTTGCACACACACATACACGTGTTATAACCTGACCTCAAAAGGTTCACTGAGTTTAGCATAACACTGGATGTGCTCCGAACCCCGACCGGTGTTGTGTCGAGACGGGGGAACAGATCTGTGTACTTTATGCCGAACATACGTGATCTCCTTTCATTTTAACTACACTACGTAACAAGCGGATACCCGTGCTGAATCAATGTCTTCCACCTTAAATCTTGACCCGAAACCAAACCTTATCCTAACCACCGAGAGGGGGCGCTACAGCCGCATGGATGGCCAAATGGAACGCAGCCAACATGAGGTACAACGCTAAAAGATAACGGTTAACAATGGAAAAAGCAAGCGTGTATACCCGCTTCTGAAGACTGAGGAATGACGTTAGTCGGAGCCATGTTGCAAAGAGCCAATCTTGAAACCAGCCCTACAGTCCGTCTGAACTTAGAATGTTACTCTAGCAGCTTAAAATTCTCCAACTTCCTCAGCGGTTCCTCTTCTCCAACATGTGCTTCGTCGGTGGCCAACAGCTCAATTTCCGGTTTGAGGCCTTCACAATAAGTGTTTCGCTACAACTTGAATGCATAACATTTTCTAAAGGGACCCAGTGACACGAGTCAATAAGATAAATTAAAAATATATACACAGCTATTTTTCAAACAGGATTAAATAAATGTGCAATTTCTGAATGTATTTCTACATTTTCTCTACATTTCTATATTTATTAATTTCAACATTTACTTGAACATTTCAAAAATTGTTGCAGGGTTCATGCCCTTAATTCCAGGGTTAGAGTTAGAGCTCCATAAAAATTAGGTCAGTGAGTTTATCTAAAAAGAACATGTCCACCTCATAAGGTAAGTGCCCATCTGGCAAAGCAGCATAGACAATCTTCAGATACCAAAGAGGTAAACTGATTCCATGTGAAGATGAAAGGATGTTCACGTTCTTGAACCAATTGCACCCACAGGGTTCCTTTGGCATTACCTGTGCCACACCTGGAACACGAACATGAAGAGGCAGCAGTAGTAAGGCCCAGTGACAAAAACCTGCAGTCAAAATGGACAGTTTCCAGCAGCTTTCAGTTTCAGAATCAGCTTTGTTGGCCAGGTGTGATGAACACACGAGGAAATGGACTCCCATACATTGGCTCTCAATGTGCATGTATAATGCTCTTCCATAAGGCAATGAGCAAACAAGACAGAGAACAAGAAATGAAAAAGAAAGTGCATTAGGAGAATTAAAATACAGTACAGTAGAAATTCCATGAAACATTGTGATCCTGAAGGGCAAATTAGAAAAAACTTTATTTTAAAAAAGGGTGAAACCTGTGATTATCTCTAAAGTTAAGTTCCAAAAGTCAGAGGCAGTTTTCTTTACAGCTGATTTTTGTTTCAATAAATCAAGAAAATGCAATAAAAATGCACCTGCCAGAGTCATTAAATACATGCTAACAGTTCAAAGAGCAGACTGAGCATCTCGCTCAGTCTACAAAGATATGCTGGATTTGTACAGAAACATATTAATCGTCCTGTGGAGCCCCCTTCAGACTGGACCTATGCTTCTTCTGGTCCCTCTGGCCCATGATGCGATACAGTTTTTTACGTGCCTCCTTCTGTCTCTTCAACTTAGCCTCCTCCTGTTTCTCCTTCTGCTGCAGGAACTCCTTGTGTTTGGCATGCTGCACCAGGTGGGCTGCCTTCCTCTTGTGGTTGTGAACCATGCCCAGAGCATGGAGCAAGGCTGCCACCTAAAGGAACAAGTGATATTTTACTGCTGGAAGTATATAAGATCATCTTGTAGTTAAAGGACCCAACCAACTTTTTTGGACATCATTTCAAACAGTTACAACAACCTTTGTTCACCATTTGTTGTCTGAATGGTCTGATCAGTGTTTCATTATGGGTGTACTGATGATTACCTGAGCTGGTGTACTGACACTGTAGTCGGGTTTTGCTCACCTTCCTCTCATGGGGTTCACGGATCACGCTGGGACGCTGCAGATCTCTGGAAACCTTTCCTTTGGGTTGCTGCTGTTTGGGTTTGCTCTTAAAGGGCAGGGCCTTCTGGAGATCCTTGGGGATGTGGAGGGGGTTGAAACGCCTCTGGGCTCTGACCACCGACTAAAGAAAAAAAGAAATATTCATGCATGAAGTTAAGATTTTAGAATTACTGTCTTGTGATGTACAGATCGATGTTGTAACTGCAAGGCAACTCAGTGATGAGTTCAATTTTTAACCCACCCAACACTCAATATACGAGACAAATACCCAATGAAATCTATTTTAGGGCTGCAACAGATGATGTTTATGATTAATCTATACCTTATTGATTTGTTATTTTTTCTATCAGAGACAATATTGTGAAAAAGGTCCAAGATAACATTTTCTGATATCATGCTTAGTCTAAACAACCGTACAACACCCAAAACAATTTCATGGATATGTAAAAAAGCAAATCCTCAAACTGGTGAAGCTTGAACTTTGTTTGCTAAACAACTTAAGTTATTAGCAACCTGTCAACAGACAAACCAATTAATTAACTTATAATTACAAAACTCATTCATTTTCCCATATTAGGATTTCTTGGTAGGTTGAAACATATTCAGTTTAGAAGCTGAAATTATTGATGATATGAATAAAGACCAACTAGGAGAATGGGACTACTGAAACGAACATGAGGCTATATATTGATGTATTACTGTGTTGGGGTGTGGGGCGATTTCTGGAACTACAGAAACACTCAGTCCACTTGGGGTTGTACAGTGGTGTTACCACGTAGCACACGTTTCCTCACAATATTTGGCTGAGTACAGAGACCAGTTCAACAATCAGGTTACTCAAGGAGTTAATGTTCATTAGTGACAGCGGAAATGACCTCAGTACTGGCTGAAACTGAGAATCCGCTAGCTTTTACATACTGCTTTTTGCTAATGATCAATATGACAAGGGTAGCACTAATTATGTCATATTAATCTTAACCCGTCGTTCTTTCATCAAATCAGGTGTTTACAGATCCATCAGACTAAGTCTACCTTATACAGAGAGTCAGTGTTGGGTTTGTTGCGGATGCCCAGATCATGTTTGAGCTGCCCTAGAGTCCTCATGCCTGCCCAGCTGTCCTTTTGCCCGACAGGCAGCAGCAGAGAAGTGACGGGGTTGTAGAGCTGAGGAACAGATACCGGAAACCAGGAGCGCAAGAACACAATGTCTGCATAACACACACACACACACACACACACACCAAAACATCAATACAGAGCAAAATAACCCAATATCAGTACAGAGCTAATTACTAGTTACCTAGTGTCCATAAAATAAAGACTATCATGGTGAAGTTACCACTTTTTTAAAGCTCTAATCTAGTAGTAAATATTACAGTTTCCTCAAAACTAAACAAATATGGACACCGCACAGCAGCTAAATTAATCCCAATTCAATGGCTAGAGTGTTGTGTTGACTTCTGTTGTGACATAAAACCTTGCAAGGGGTAAGCCTAAGAATCTTGACCATACTGTATATCCTACATGCAGTGAACTTGTATGTACAGACAAATGTACTGATTAATGCAGTAGCTAAATATATAAAGGGCATTATTTCCAAATATTTTTTCCTCTTGTTTGAAAAAGTGAAAAAAGGAATTGACCAGATGAAAACGCTACATCTAATTTACCGATTACATGCAGACAACTGTTTCATTCTAAGATAACCTTCAGGCGTTTTCACAACTGTAGTTAAGTTCATTTGGTTCAGACCAAGGGGAACAACTATACTTGAATTGTATTTTACTTCTGTTCCTGTTTGTGTTCACACATGCATTTTAAATACTTGTGGCGACTCTCATCCTGCATGTACATCATTAGTACCCAGTTACATCATCATCAGGAATATGAGGAAATAAAATTCTGGTGACTGGCAGCAGGTCAGTCTACACTTTTTGTTCTTTGGTCTCACAAATAACTCAAAGAGAAATAACAGATCACAAGCATTCTTTCTTTACATTACACACAATGTCTTCTCCTGCCAAATCCTCTACGCAATAGGATTGTTAGACTGAATGTGACATTTAGACCCATCTCCGTGCTTTTCATTTACTGCAACTTTCCATCAAAAAGGAAATCTTTTTCATGTCTTCTGCATCATTTTGTTCACATTTCCCCAGAATACAGCCTGACAGATCTGGTATATTAAGAAACTGTATGACCAGCAACTGTCTTTAAAACTAGGATAAGAATCTGCAGGAACCAGTTCTACATACCGTACTTCAAAAATCGTAACTCACCGCTCATGAGCAGGCGGTCCTCAAATGTAGCTCTGTAAGCTCCCGGCGGCGTGGCCAGGGCCTTCTTGATCTGACCTCTGATTCCAGACACTGTTCGTACTGAAGCACCTTCAAATTTAGCTACCTCCAGCACTGTATTGAACATGCCCTGTGAAAACATAGGGATGTCAGCGAAGGTACTTCTTACTAATATTATTAATATTTCTGCCTCTTCTCATTGTGATGCTGCACTGCATTTTCAAATTCAACACAGGCAACCCCCCAGCAATGACATAAATGGTGAATATGGTCATTTTAGCTTGTAAGAGTGCCTCATTTATCACGTTTTTATTGTGGCAAGTCTCTTTGTATATACTAGATCTTTTAATCTTATGAAAGTTTTAAAAAAACTTGACCTTAATTATGGTGTAGACCAGCCAGAATCACTCCAAGTCATTAAAAAGCAATAAAAGCTTAAACTAAAGAATGTTCTTGGTGCAAATGATCTCTCAACACTATAGAGAGATTTGTGCATTTTTTTAACCACATGCAATTTTTATGTCTTACTAGTCAGAACACTTTTTTGGGCTAAAATCTAACCAGAAATGAGGATGTGCAGCTTCCATTACCTTAATGAAGCATGTGTTCTTGAAGATCTTGTAGGGATACCCAATGAGTTTGAGCTTCTTCACTACAGTCACTGATTTATCCAGATCCAAGATCACTCCTGTGGCTGCAATACGGAAATTAGCCTGCAGAGGAAAAAACTATTCCTAAGTAAACTGATCAAAGACCTCTTAATCAATACCATGGCAATCATTTTTGATCTTTAGATTTTTTGGAATTTTATTCACTTTTAATTTTAATTATGTTGTTACCACAAAAGACACAATTATAAAAACTACAGTAAACCCATAAATAACAGTGAAAGTAGCAATGTTCTCACTGGGATTTTATTCATGCTCTTCTCGGTTACATGATCTGTGACATTTTAACAGAATCAACTGATCACAGGGATGCAGTCTACAGTAACAAGGGAGAATACGACTTACTTTAGTTCCTGCTACAGCTAGGAAGCCAGTGCCCTGTGGTGTGATGGGACCTTCAGTGAGACAAAGGCAGAGCAAATAATGGGTATTATAAACACAGAGGTGATCACTTTAGCCAAAACTGTAAAACATTTCTTCAAAGACTTCAACAGAACTGCAACAAAAGACTTCGAGTAACAAATTACTCCCATTTCTTTTACAGAGCCAACTCTAATGAACCACAGGTCTTCAATTACTTATTAATACTTTGTTTCAAAACAGTAACCTGTTCCTCAAGGAGGAAGTCACTACCCCAAAACAGAAAAAAAAAAAAAAATAAAAAAAAAATCAAGCCAATGTTTGCAGATGAGCCCTCTGACAAAGATCTTACTTTTTAGAGGGCTGATCTTTGGTCAAATGAGACAAAAATTAAACTGTTTGGCTGTAATGATCCACATCATGCATGAATGGAAAAGAGATTCCAACTCTGACGCCTGGGGGTGGCAGCATTATGCTACGGGGTTTGTTTTGCTGCACGAGGGACTGGTGCACCTCATAAAATTGACAGCATCACAATGAAGGAGAATTAAAGTGAATATTTTAAAACTTCATCTGAACACATCAGCCAGGAAGTTGAAGCTTAGATGCAGACAGGAGGACAATAGTCCAAAGCATACCTCCAAAAGAGTAACAAAACAGCTTGAGGCCAACAAGGTAAAGGTTTTGGTGTGGCCATGACAAAGTTCTGACCTTTACCCAACAGAATACTTTGGGGCTGGAAGCCAACAATCCTCACTCTGCTGCACAAATTCTGTGCTTGTGGAAGGTTATGTCAACGGTTTGTTTCAAGTTACACTTTCTAAAGGCAATGCTGCCAGATATTAAGAAGGTGTGTTTTACACTTTTGACCCTCTGAGAATGTGATAAAACTAGAATTACCACTTTACAATTGTATGCCTCCACAGTCAAATTCATGGCAACGGGACAGATGTGAGGTCACTGTCACCTTAAACTTCAGTTCATCCTTGAGTCCAAGTGGATATTTGTTTCAAATTTGAAGAAATTCCCTCAAGATGAGATATCACATTCACAAGAATAGAATAGACATGAAGTGACAGGGACCTTTGACCATGAAAATCTAACTTATTCTTCCTTCAGTCCAAGCGGACACTTGCACCAAGTTTGAAAAAATTACCCCATGTCGTTCCCGAGATGTCACACTCACAAGAACGTAGGCACGGACAACACAAAAACATAGTGCCTCCGGCCATGGCTACTGCACAAAGGCATAAAAAAAATAATAATAATTTTTTTATTCTCTCTATTATTCTGATTTTTTTCACATCATAAAAATAAAGCAGCTGATCTAACTGAACTAAGAGAAGGACTACCCAAATGAAACGATCAGAAATGTTAATGCATTTAGCCAAAATGTATGTAAACATTCTACCACAGCTGGAACTATACCATCTAGTTTAGGTTGATAAAGACTAAAATCTAACTCACTGCTGTTGACCAGCAGTCAACAGTGCTTTAACTGTGTCTCACCCCAGATGGAGGCTCCACAGTACATGTGCTGTGGCGTGTATTTGAGCAGACGGTGGCGTCCGTTGTGATCCTCGATGTGGTAAAGGGGGATGGTCTGGAAGCGCCTCCAGCCTAATGACAGGATGAGAGGATCCCGTGTCTTCAGGATGCGCTCATACCAGCGGTGTTTCTTCAGTCGCATCTGACGCACACACACACACACACACACACACACAGTGGTTTAGATATGTGCTTACTACTTTAAATGTTATGAAGAAACAGTGGGAGGACATTGTGGGTTATGTCTCAAAATCAATTAAGTTTGATATTCAGGTCTGACCAAAGTGTGCTTCACACAGGGTTAGGATTATGAAGGACATCTGCCAGAATACTGCAGAGCTATTATTAGATTGAGTTTACACAGCCTTATTACAGAACAGCAGGTGATGCTACTGACAGGTGCTCCTGGCAAGCAGCAGCTTTACTGCTGAGCCGCCCGTGTGTATTCCCAAGTCTTTGTGAAGGAACACTTCCAACTCTTTGGAAAATACACTCATTTGTTTTCTTTCCAAAAGGGAACTAACATTAATATCATAATCAATCATTTCACAGGACATCTTAAGGCAATATGAGTCATGTGCAAACCATCGCACATACCTGCAGGTATCCCAGGTTGCCTTCACTGGAGCCCAGACTTCCGAGGATGATGGGGTAATGGGGATCAAAGTTGGTAACAAACTCACAGGGTAGAGAGAAGATTTCTAATCTGACATACATTCCTGGCCGGAAGCCTTCATACTGCACTCTGGTCTCATCGTCCACATCCTCAAACTCTGCCCTGTTCAGCTGAAGCCACAGAGACAGAATATACAAATACATATAAGGTAAAATCATAAATAAATATTAAGATGATTAACTAAAAATCATAAACTCTATTTCAATGTTGTATATGGTATTTAAAAAAAAAAAAAAAAAAAGCCTGCTTCTGCATCTCCTCCTTCAGGTCATCGAAGTAAGTAGCATCTCCGTCGTCATATTCTGCATCAAATCGCTCCTTAAGTCTGCGTTTCTTCTCCAGACGCTTATTTTTCTGAACCTCTTCCTCATCCTGCTTCATCAGACTCTCCTCAGCTTCATGCTCATCATCATCTTCACTATGCTCACTGCTCTGTTGGTCACAAGGGACAAAAATCAAAGCATTATCCAATGGAGGAAAAAAAAAGGCGTTAATGATATGACTGTAGCTGTAAATCCTACCTGAACAAGGTATGTTTTGGCTTGAAGGTGTTTATATCCACATCTACAGAACTCTTCACACACATAGCCCAAGATTAAAAATGGTAACAATTCCTTAGGTGTTCACCAAATATGAATGCAAACACCTTCTAACAACGTTGAAGCTAAAAATCCCCTCATAGTCATGTGGTCTATGATTCCTAGGATTAGCAGGTCAGCTGCTGACAATATGATGTAACCCAGGACCCACCTACTCCGGAGCAGGTTTGTTCTCAGATTTATTCAATGTGAAACATATAACCACATTCATATACCACTAAGCAGACATCAGCACAGGTCAATGTATTACTAGCCTACATTACTTGTAGCTGCACATTCGTCTGCATATGATCATAAAAGTACTTAAAAATAAATACAATAATATACTACACATTCCATATCCCCAAATGCAACGGCTTATATTTGTGCATTATACAAAGTAATGGCCGATGGGACAAGGGAATTCCTTGTTCTGTTAGTTTTAGTTCTTGAGGCCTGAAGATGTCGGTCTGATGGCAGGACCTGGAGTTCGTGAACAAAGGATGTACGAAGGACAACAGCTCAGATTTAAATTTGGTCAGAACATGATCTACCAATCTTAAACAAGCAACCCACTGACAGAGAAACGATTAGAATAAGATGCGAGAGTGCTGTAGGGATTTTTCCATAGGCTTTTGGATTATTGCAGAAAATAAGCTCTGTGACAAACAAAAGCTTAAGACACTTATGCTTTTTGTTCAGCAAGATAACAATTCAACACCACTTTTACATTTTTTTGAAGCCTCATTATAATCATTAAAAATAAAAAACTATTGTTAGGCTACGAACAAACTACACAAAAAAAAAAAAAAAAAAAGAGGAAAACTGCCCATACACTGAACCAACAAAGGCACCTATACGTAGGAAATGACAACCCCACCCATAATTAAGACGTCACATGGTATAAAGTGACACAGATAAATGGAGTGCCACTGACAACCACCAATGTACAACTTCTGAGCTACAGGTCCAAAGAAAAGATAAACAAGGCAGCACAGTAAAAGAAGGGCTTTGTCTTGAAAAGTAAAGAGACTGACCTAGATCACAACCAGACAGCGCTCAGAGAGTGCAAAGCTCAGCCAGGGAAAATGACAGACATTCACTCATCGGTTTAGGGATAAACTTCAGTGAGCGGACTGTGGGCAAAGACTCCAGAAATTTTGCAGAAAACCAGCATAAAGTGGAAGAACCTTTCTCTAAATGAAAGTGAACTAGACAAAGAAGAATGAATACAGATAGCAAAAATATGAAAAAAATCTACTCTGACCATGGGTGGGATGTGGCAGAAATCAGTCCAGAAGTACTAAGAGTGTTTGCTTCAGCCCACAAGGGATTTTGTCGTGACAAGTCATGAATAACTATTAATAAACGAAGAGGATCTAGACATCTCTTATGTGCACTGGGCTTCCTGTTACTCTGCAACTGTATTTAGCAGAGATTACAGAAATTATACTTTCACATCAAAGTACAGAATTACTCATGTGATCCTAGAACTGTTTTATGGCATATCAAGGACAGGGTCCTGGTCTCATTTATAATTTGACAGCTCAACCACGTAAACCACTGTCGAGCTCGTATTCCCCTCTAACAAATGTCTAAGACACTTACGGCTGACTTACAGCATACAAAGTTTAGACTGTAAAGCCATTTGAGCTCCAAATGTTAGTAACTCTATCTTGATCACATAAATCCAGTGTGAACAGGACATACCTCAGCTTGATCCTGCTGCCCTCTTTGGGCCTTGTAGATTTCTCCCGTTTCCAAATCCTCAAAGTCACCATACAGCTCCTCTAGATAAAGAGAAATGAAATACTGTATGTTACAAACATGTGAAAAGCACAGGTACAATGTTTTATTCTGAATATCCCCCTTCAAATCGCTCAGCCAGGTTTAAATGTAAAGTAACCCCTTCAAATGCATCTGGAACAACATTTCACTAGTTATGCTTATAAGCTTTTTAAACAAGTCTACCTTTAGATCAGTGTGTTGGGCAGAGCGCTATGGTTCTTACCGTCCTCCTTCAGTAGTGTGGCAGCATCTTGGCTTTTATCCCATTTTCCTGTTACAAAACAGTCCCTGATGGAGTTTAACACCTGGGGGAAAATAAACCCATCGTAACTTTCAGTCATTTAAGTTTAAACAGCACATTAGGATCCAAGAAGGCTCAACGGTCTGCCCCCCAGCACGTTTTGAACAGTTTTAGAAATTTTGCTACCTCCTCCTCATCCCAGTTGTGGCAGGGGTCAGGATTGAAACGAGAGCAGTCCAGAGCATCTGCCTGGAACCTTTTGCTCTTCTGAGGGCGAATGACTCGAAACAGTCCTCCCAGCTCTTCTTCCTCTCCATCAGAATCACCTACCTCTACAACTGGGGGGGGGGAATAAACAAATAAATAAAAGAGACCACTTGATCAAAAAGACACCAACAGACACTGAAAAGCTAAAACATACTCAGTTGTCAGTTTACTTTACTTTGTAGAGATCCATTTTCAATTTGACATGAAAGTGTCCTTTCTCTCGATCAGTGTCAAAGAAAGCCACATTAAATTGACAATGATTCAGCATTGTATCCAAATAAAAGGTAATAAAAGGTGAAAACTTCCACAGAGGGTGAATACTTTTTATAGGCATCATATATACAGCATATAACAGTGGCAAGAAAAAGTATGTGAACCTTTTGGAATTTCATGGTTTTCTGCATTAATTTGTCATAAGATGTGATCTGATCTTCATATAATCAGAACCAGCTTTATTGGCCAGGTGTGTCAGACACACGAGGAATTTGACTCTGGTACATAAGTCAAGAGTATTGGCAAATATAATGTGCCTAAAATAACAAAAAAATGTTTTGGATCTTTCATGTCTTTATTGAACAGTCATTTAACATTCAAAATGGTAAGTGAACCCCTGGAATTAATAACTGGTTGACCCCCCTTGGCAGCAATAACCTCAACCAGGCACTTCCTGTAGCTGTGGATCAGACCTGCACATCATTCAGGAAGAATTTTAGCCCATTCTTTGGCAGAACTGCTTTAGCTCCATCATATTCTTTGGTTTTCTTACGTGTATGGATCTCTTCAAGTCATTCCATAGCATCTCTATTGGGTTGAGGTCTGGGCTCTGACTTGGCCACTCCAAAAGGCAGATTTTGTTTTTCTGAAGCCATTCTGTTGTGGACTTGCTCTGGTGTTTTGGGTCATTGTCCTGTTGCATCACCCAGCTTCTTTCAGCTGACATACAGACATTCTCACATTATCCTGAAGAATGTTTTGATACACTTGGGAATTCATCTTCCCCTCAATGACTGCAAGCTGGCCAGGCCCTGATGCAGCAAAGCAGGCCCAAACCATGAGGTTTCCTCCACCATACTTTAATGTTGGGATGATGCTTTCATGATGAAATGCAGTGTCCTTTTTACACCAGATGTAGTGCTGCGTGTTCTTTCCAAATAGTTCAATCTTAGTTTCCTCAGTCCACAAAACATTTTGCCAATACCGCTGTGGAGTGTCAATGTGCTCTTTCCCAAACTTCAGGCGTGCAGCAATGTTCTTTTTAGTAAGCAGCGGCTTCCTTCATGGTGTCCTGCCATAGACACCCTGCTTGTTCA